TTGGTGACTTTATTCTTAAAAAAGATGCAGTTTGCTCGATTCGTCTGAGGTTTCAAGAAGTAGTACTTGGAAAACTCCCTGTGCAGTTGTTCTGGATCGTATTTTTTTAAGATTTCCCTACTTTAGCGAGGCTGTACAATATTCTAAAAGTTTATGGCCGCCCTCAATTGTCACTGTGAGTTGATGTTCATTGCTCGTTTTCAGGAATGGGATGAAAAAGCTAAGAAGGCGAAAGAAAAGTACCAAAAGGATTTGGCCGCTTACAACGCTCAGAAAAAAGAAGACGGTGGAACACCAAAAAAATCAAAAACAATTTCTGATTCTTTTTCGAAAAAGTCGCCGAAGCCACAAAAGCAGTCAACGTCGTCTCCATCTAAGTTTAAAAGTAAAGAGTTTATCGAATCATCGGAAGATGACTCATCTGATGACGAGGTAAGGTTGTTTTACTCATGCAAGAATGCTGGGTATCATTGCCAGGACTAATGAAGGGATTATAATAATTCCTGAGGCTCCAAAGCCCGGGGATGCCCGGATAGGTCCCCGAAAGGCTAAGATTTTCACGCCCAGTCGATCCCTAAGCATTTTATTCCGAAAGCCCTCAGACTTTTTCGTTACCCCACTGCTGTTATTTCTATGAACTGCTCTAGGGAATCAATACTTTCCCAAAAACAAAACACTGTCCGATGAAATTTATTAAACATTGAAAATAGGAAGTCAATATCTTAAATATTAAATAGAAAGTAAAGAATAAATATTGAAACTACATTTCTCTGTTCAATAATTCAAACAATACCAGATAGAATGCTAGACAAGCTGTGGGAAAGTCTCCTGACAAACAAGTACTCTTCCATGCTATCGGGATGTCTCAGTTTACGAATTTCTATTACACTAACCTGTTACCTCACCAGTGAAGGTCATTGTATGTTAACCTTCCACGACCAAAGGGCTGTTAGGTTTAGAGAATTTATTTATAGGGGTAGAGAGAATACCCTAGGGGTAGGGAGAGTAACGAAGTTGATTGCAGGATAATATGAACAATTAAAATACCTGAGAATGTCCGTATGAAACGCTCAATGACGTTGTCTTTCTTTCGTATTTTTTATTTCTTTTCCTGAATACCAATAATTTCCTCCTCCACCCCAAAGCAATAAAAATGTTTGGATACCTGTCATAAACAGGAAAAGCGTCTTTGTTAGCCTACTACGTCATTTTATGTTATGTAAACATTTTGAATGGTACTGATTGTAGCCTGGTACTGACAGAAGTACCCTGGGTACCAGAGCCACACGATTTCAAGCACGTACTCTGCTTTTCCATTCCTATCTTGTGTTTCCGCTCGCCAATTTATGTGGCTCTGGTACCCAGGGCATAACAGAGGTGTTACGCAGGGTTAAGAAAGATACAATTTATGTATCCATAATGGCACCAATATTTACCAGCAGTAAACACGAGAATAAATTCAAACAGAACCGAACCACTGATCGTTAACCTTACAGCAACATTATCATTATTTCATATTATAGTACTTCATCCTCATTACATTTTCATTCCAGCACCACCACCCACCCTCTCTCATTCGCCACCCTTCCCTCCTCTACTACTGCGCTGCATTCACACCATTCCACATCAGCCAATCCGACACCACCATCGCCTCTTTTAAATGTGTAAATTTTTAGCCCGTTAACTTTTGCTCTGATGAAGCCCCGTATGCCGGGGCGAAATATCAGCCTTCACTGATTTACGTGTATTTATTGTTGTTTATTCTCGGCGTATTGCGGTGTTTCTTATTTGCTACAATAAATTCAATGTTGCAAAATGGTTGATGTTGTTGATGATTTCTTGTCTAGGGCTCCAAGAAGAAGAAAACTCCGTCCAAGTCAAAGGAAGATGATTCTGAAGACGAGGAGTCCGAGGCAGAGATGACTGATGACGAGTCCGAAGGTTCAGACTCCGACTAGATTCATGCTGCTCACGAACCTATGTCATATCCAGCTGCATAGCCGCTGTATACATCTAGTAAGGTACTTTGTATTGTACACGACGTAGTAAATCCGTTCAGTTAGGAATATTCCACTGATGGATGTTGATAAAATGCTTGTGATGCACGGGCCTGTTGAATGAACTCAGTTGGACGCGTTTATCAAAACATCGTACGAGCTGCATCACTAAAAACTATGAAGACTTGCTTTTGTTTGTAAATTATGTTCGTAAAACCCACTAGCAGTTTCCTATTCTGTTTCTCTAATTGTTAACTGTTTTGTTACTGTATGCCTTCACTGGCAATGATATCTGTGAACATGTTTGAATTTCGACTGGACGTCTCTGGTAACATGACTTTCATTACATAAATAATATCTTTTCCAAGTGTAATATCAGTTAGTACTTGGTTTACAAATACCAGTTCACGTTACAAATCGCCCCGTACTTCTTCTATCTATGCCAAATATTTTGTGTTGGGGATACCATACTATGATTGCAAATATTATTGTACAACTTTTTGTTATCACTTTAAGATTTGCTACCACACTTCAAGTCCAGATTCAAGTTTCATATTGTTTGTGCTTTTCACAGTTAAAAGCGTGACAAAAATTTTGCATATGATCAGTGAACCTTATAGCTCACAAACATAATGAGAATAAAATTTGAAACCTTGATTCGAATCTGAAGTTAAGAATTTGATGCCAAAGGTTTGAATCATTTTCAGAACAAGGTCATAAATTCAATCGACTCATTATTCTGCACGAGGCTTAAAATTTCTTCATTCGCGATCTTTATCTTCGAACAATGCACCTCTCTCTTCCCCTCGGTTGCTGCAATGACTTTTAACTGCGCAACAACGCTTCCTTTCTACCAAAAAAACCTCCAAATGTTTGTAAGTTGTGCGATTATTCAAATGAAGCACAGTAGAAAAGGTTTTCTCGCCGCTTGTCAATCGTTGCTATACCCCTGTTATTGTTAGCTTTCCAGTCTAATAGGATTTGAGCAACAGTGAACTTTCTAAGTACTCTTCAACCGCCATTCTGCTTATAGACCTATACATTACACGAACGCGCATATAACTCCCACTTGTAAGATTGACTGCCTCATATTAAAGCGCAAAGAGGTTCATCTATCTGGACATTTTTTCTCTCTTACCTTACTGCAAGAAGAAAAAGCAGTTCATATGCCAGGCAGGCTATATTAAGATAATTTACACATCCCTATCGTTTGTGCCACAAGTTACCTATCTTGCTCCACTGCTGTTTGGCGTATACATCAGTGGCATATCAGTAACCATTGGTTACAGACAAATTACTAAGTAATTAGATTATTTCGAGTTTATTTGGTAATTTAGGCAAAGTTTCTAATTTGGACTTTCTTAACTGTTAATAGCTTTTGGAAGGTACAACAAACACGCAGACTGGACAAAATAGCGATAATATTGGGCAAGCAATGTTCTCAGTATGAATGAAGTATGATGAATAAAGACTAAGATATATTTGTAAAGTGCTCAGCCCCACCCAATTAGAACAATATTATTTCGGTTTCGTTGAGCAAAAAATGTTTTTTCTCATTTTAAAAAACAGAGATTGATTTTTTAAAAGAAAGATAGCTTTTGTGCATTTATTTTTTAGACTAGAAAGATAGCCTTTGTATATTTTTTATCTTTACTGACAAGAACCAATCCAATACAGTTTGACCCCTCCTTTTCCGCAAATATCCATAACACTTGAGCATAAAAACCTTAAGCCAAACTGCCTGCCAATTTTGCTAACCTCAGTCACACTATTTTGCTAGGGTCACAAAGATCAACGGGAAAACCTACTTTAGATTGTGATAAATGTTATCCTTTCGTTGTGGTGAGGTTATACCGAGCATCGGATTTGATTTTTCAGCAGCTGAAATGATAAAAGAACAAAATTTAACCAAAGATCTTTGACATTAGCGAAAATGAAACTAACACAGCCACATTTAAATCCACCTGCTCACGTTCACTAACCAGTACGTAGAATTAGGCTTAGTCCTAAAAAATCTTCATAAATAGGCTTCCTTCTTTCAGTGATGGCATTTTGGGACTCTTTTCTGTTTCAGTATATTGTCGAACGATTCTTCTCTGTTCAGCGAGGATATCCTTCTAGTATGTTTTACACTTTCTATCCTGCTTGTAAAAGTTTGTTGAGCGTGTCATCTCGAATTAGCTCCTCAACCCCCTGTTTACAGTACTGTCAATAATCAGATTGCAATGTTCCTTACATGACAAGCCTCAACTCAACGTAAAGACACATTCGAAGCTGTTGATATATGATTGTGACCTTAAGTACGGAGATGTAGAATCACATACATAGATAAAGCCAACGATAAAGAGTCTTCTAATGTGCTTTTCGCCGGGGAGCTTACTCTCTTCCTATCCAATTATGGAGTTTTTTAATTTGCCACTTTGTAAATATTGAAACGTCCAAATCCTAAAGACAGTAAATATTTTGAACTTTATAATTTTCTTGGATCAAAACAAATCCTACTATCTAAAACTAAAATTAAACTGAAACTCAAGCTAAAACTAAAACTCGAACCAAAGCTGCAGAAATCAGTAAATATATTTCCGCAAAGTTTAGAAGTGTTTGCTTCCACAATTTGGCAGAAAAGAAATGGCCTTCAAAAAGGAAGGAACATGGCCATATCGAAAGTGCTTCGGGCTATAATTGATAACAGTGTTTATATTTTAATTACTGCCTTTGTCTAAATCTGAGGTAGGAAGACAGCCGCCAGATTGACTGTAGTTGTTTCTAGGACATTTAAGGGTTTTTTATGATTGCCTCGAACAGTGATTGTTAGGCGATTTTAATACTTAATAGGGATTGGTAAAATTTCAATACGATGTAGAAAATGTTCATAAAAAAATCAATGGCCTAACTTTTTAGTTCCTGCTGTTTTTAAGTCAATATCACTAGGTATTATAAAAATTCTGATAACTTCTATTTCTTAGAGTAAGTGTGCAAAATATTCAATTGGTGGAATAGTTAAAGTATTCCAAAGTTAAAGTATGTCGTTTTAGGTCGAATTTTTGTCTTGAAAAGAAGAAAAATGGCATGCTGCTCGCTTTTTGTTAGCGTCGATGCAATGCTAAAGCATTTGAACCAGGCAACATGGGAATCCAGTTCTCAAATCAAAATACATCCACAAAAGGTTTACCAATCAAGTTGCCGTAAAACCATTTCACTTTTTTGAAGCTAGCAATTTACCAAACATCCAGTTCAATAAAACTTCATCGAATTTACTCGTGTCGACACCGTCCAAATTTCATTTTCCATTCTGTTGTGCCACTTTTGAATAGTTCATCAGCTATTGTAGTTAAACGAAAGGTACATTCTTGAGCTGACGCAAAACAGTGCTCTCAGCAAATTGGTGTTGTTGTTGTTGTGACTTGCGTAGACTTTTGTATCGACGTTTGAGTCGTGAAATGAAATTTTTGATTTTGATGGTGGACATTCAAAAGCAGCTTTATAGACTGGGGTTTCAATTTAGAAAGTAGTTTCAAATTCAAAACATCCATCGATGCCAGTTGTGTTTGATATCTCATATATTTAATATATTTAAGGGAAGACTCTGAAGGTCGTGAAATAATTTGTGCAAATCGTAACATTTATGCAATTTCACTACAATTCATGAAAGTTAACTCATTAAAGTGAAACCAAAATGGAAAATCGGTTTATAGCACAGGGGAAGCTGCTATATAACACAAGTTAAATTATCTACTCGCCCCCTTTCAATATTATCCGTTTATTTAAAGTCATCGTCCACCCTAATACAAGACTTTTGAACAAAGCCACTTGTCGAGTTTAATACATGGTTTATGAACCACATCATGATTTTTTGACAAAACATGCAGCGATAATGATACAAAAATTTTCATGCTTTGGATTCAACGTATCATAAAAGTTTGTTTAAAAATTTTACTCGGCTCCATTGTCTAAAAAATATTTGTTCTTGAAAAAGACAAAAAACAACGGAATTCTTTAAATGTGGGAATATTTAAAAAACTTTATGTTTTAAAGGAAAGTCAGTATGAAAACTGACCCACCTTTAGCAAAAATCAACTTTTCCTCCTCTAGCGCTACTGTGTATGATAATATGAATTTAGTTCTATCTCTCTGTTCTGACGTATTTTTGACCACAAACGTAAACTTTCAAAGGCGATTTCAACCACCCCTTCCCCCTTTTTGAACAATGTTGATTTGATAGAAAACACAGGAGAATAGCGAGTATGTTTTTTTTTCGTGTAACTTGTTTGATATTTGTCTATACTATCATAATTTTTTTGGGCAAAAGGGACTGAAGGAAGTAATATTTGAGAAAAGAAATAAAAAGTATAAGAATACAGAGCATTTTGCAGGAAGTTCCAAGTAATTGCAGTAAGCATTGCACATTAAGTACCAAAAATTTCGGTGGGATTTATTTTCGGTGAAGCCTTATCTCGTTTTCCACCGATATACTTTAAAAACAACACAACAAATTTTTCCTTGACATTGTTTTAGTATTACTATACATACAGTACATATCAATTTTCAGTTTCTGGTTCTCCTTTATCGTCAACAAATAAGATATCCAGCTCATCTTCACTTTCTTCTCTTTTGCTCTCTACATTCAAGAAATTTGAGTTCTCTATGGGCTCAACTGTTGGCACTTAATAATTCTCTCAATCATTTTCTCCTAAAAATCCAATGATTTTAATTTGGACACCTGAATTTTTAACTCACAATCGATCAGAATTTCTAATCCCTTCATTGCGATTGGCGATCAAGAATATTGCAAACTGCCGGGTTGGAAAGTTTGTTTTCTACGCGGAATAAAATATTTATGTCAAAATTTGCGAACATGAAATTGTAAAAATTGGCACCTTAAAATGCCAAAAATTGTAAAAATTAGCACCAAAAATGAAAACCGTGCTTTTAAAGTTGTGCCAAAATTTCAAAAATATGACCGAAATTTTTTCCACAAAAAATTAATCCGCCAAAATTTTTGGTAACGAAATTTTTGGTAAAACAGGAGTTTTTGCTACCTGTTAGTTGGACTCTCACAACAAACAACGCATGCCTCGTTTAGAGGTCTTCACACAAAGCTGAGGTCCTGACGAAGCATCAAGATGGCTGCAAGAGCTGGTCCTAGAGCAGAGGGAACGGATGGAAGTGACTTTAAACACAGAGAAAAAGTTGCTTCTCACTATCAAGAAAGTGTAACCATCAAAGGGAAATTACGGAAGAGCCTAGTTCCTCACATGTTTCTTACGATTCTTGCTTTTGGAAGGCTAGCATCAGTTGCACTGGGGTATGTGTTTGTCGTTTCCTTTGTTTATGTTGAAAAACCTTTTACAAGTTCTCACTCACGTTGCTTGAAGACTATTGATTAATGGATAATGATGCTCCTTGCAAAATTTCGTGATATTTATAGTTTTTTTGAAAAGGTCATTGTAGCTGAAACAGCGTAAGAAGGGGTAGACAATATCTCCAGCTCCACTTAGACTTATCTAATTTGTACTATTTCTGAATTAAGCTAGTCGAGCACAACACAAATACTCTCTCAATTTTATCATTTCAGTCCAGTTCACAGTAACTGATTATTGGTGCATTGAGGAGAGCTTCTTTGCATGTCCTGTAGTTATTGAGCATGTTGAGGTTTTTTGTGAGTAGCAACGAACGAGGATAGGTGAGGTAAAGTTTACATTAAATGGGATCCTAAAGTTTATTATTATAAACTCGATCATGTGAAAATAATTGTGACAGTCAAATGCGACAGATGAAGTACATTGTTGGAAGGAACTCAGAAATAATAATTTGTTATATCGTTCATGTTCACACTTCCTTTACCCAAAGTCCATCTAGCTATTCTTCCCCTACCTGATGGGTAATTATGTACAATACAACACGTGATGTTAGATACACAAAACATATCAGGATATCAGACAAGTTTTGTTTACAAGTGAAGGTTCCATCAAAGATATAATCCAAGTCCCACTGAAGTCCTCTCTTACTACTGCGTGAGAACAAACTGTTGATTCGGAGCTCCCAGGCTGTAAAGTTTAGTCTTCACTATCCCCACACTATAATTTTTCTCCCTCAATTTAGCCCACGCATTATTTAGAAGATCCCATAAATACTGTGTACAATATTTGTTTATCTGGTCATGTTTCCAATGAATATTTCTCCATTTAAACTTCTGCCTTCTGATAACAAGAAAAAGCAAATAATAAAAGGTCTCTTTGAAAGCCTTTGCTACAAATTTTGTGCATGATTCTAGGAAAACATTATTTGTTGGCAAATTTCAAATTTATTGTTCTGTTGTTCCCACTCAGAAAAAAATACTTACAGTCTGGCAGAGCTCTTTATTTGAAGCTGTTCCTACTTGCCTCAGTGCAGAAGCTTGCCAAAGTGTCTTGTTAATTATGTTAGGTCAGCATCTTTTCATGACAGGATGCTAATGATAGGAGATTGGGTTTTGGGCCTAGCATTCTTAAATGGAAAAGGTATCACTGTGTCACTTAGTAAGTAAGTCAGTTGGTTAGTTAGTTAGTTAGTTAGTTAGTTAGTTAGTTAATTAATTAGTTAATTAGTTAGCTAATTAGCTAATTAGCTGGTTAGCTAATTTTAAAAAGATCTAGTTTGTTTAAGTTAGTAATTTACATACAGTCTTCCACCAACCAACAATGCACTATTTCACGATACGAAATTGACATGGAATAGCACATTTTTTGTTTTTAGCCTAGTGTGTGCTACTTTTAGCAACTTTGTGCCTCCTCCTGTCTCAAAGAGATAAAAACCTAATGAATGCATTGATATATAGTTATCAATAGTGGGTTAGTCAAAATGATTTAGGGCAGAACATCAAGCTTGCAAAAATAAAGAAGTGAGTTGTAAAAAAGCAGAAACATTGCATGTTTTCATAAATGAAGTGTGTGCTGCTTTTTTGTGCTTTACCAGCTATACCATTTTAACAATTATGTTTATAAGTGCTTAGGTTTTCAAAATCATGAGCCTGACCGATTTCCAAAATGGCTATGGAATTCAGAAATAAGCATTCATAATTTCACTGTATAGTGATGCCCTTGTCAATTAGTACCAGACTAAAACAGATGTATGGTATTCCTGTAAATTAGTTGTCTGGACACATTGAATGCTCTCTAATTTTGCTGCTCAATGTAATTTGCCCCTATTCTGTTGTTAAGGAACCATAACTGAGTCTAAAACTGTATGGCCTTTGGTTGACAGCGTTAAATCTAACCCCAAGAATCATAAAGCAACCCTCACATATGCTAGCCAGATAGATTAGATCTTTGCTATGTTGAAAACATATTAAGCTAGTTTTCTTTTAGCAACTACAAAAGTTGCTAACAAATCAGCAAAACACTATGCATGGACTTTGAGGAACATATAATTGCTAGTTAGGTAAGATAAAGAGCCGCTGAGATTCATAACTTCCAGATATTCAGCTCCTGTCAGCATGTCTGAAATGTGGCTTTAAAATAATGAAGGGCTGCATTTTTAGTTATGAATCACATTGCATTTCAAAATTGCCAGACTTTAAGGTGAAATTTCCAAACCTTTATCTTTATTTTTAACTTAATCTTTCAAATCACCTCTTTTTGAATGGTTGACTAGGATCCTCAGAGCTATTTCGGGGGATTGAATACCTGACAAGAAGTAGGGACTGTCTCTTCAAAAAAGTCTTGTTGCTCAAATTATTTTTTATTAAAATTTTTGAATTGGGAAAAGGAGAGTGAATAAAGGGCCTGTTCAATGCTATTTTGTCTAAGTGACTATCCATAAGTTTATATGCTCAGAAGATATAGATTTGAAAAAGGTAGGATCCCTGTGACATGTAAAGACATATATAATAATATAGGAGGGTAGGTGTATTCATATCATTCAGCAATTTTGTATTGTTAGCATCTTATATTGACTAAACAAGGGCTAGGAAGTTTTTGAAAATACCCTTCAATCAACAAGTAATAGTCCCATTTTTCTGTATCCGTTTAACCACCTAGAATTAGTTAAAACCTGGTTTTCAAATAATTGTTATGTATCTACGATATGTTGGCAAAGCATAGGCGATGATGTTCTGCTGACTGGTTTCAATTTAGCTTTTATATGCTAGCAACATTTCTGTGATGCATCACCGATTATTCTCTTCAGCAAACTGGCATCATTCGCAACAGCCTCCTAGTAAATTAAAATGTCAGCTTCAGGCAACAAGTAAACAACAACACCATGTATCTGGCCAGCCCTACATATTGTTTCATGAAATGAACCTGCATGACAGAGAAAACCCTTTTAGATCAGATGGAAAGGTGTTTTCCCTATCAGATGTATTCCCTAAGACCTTTATGGTACGGAACAGCATAGTTTTGAATCTCATTCATGGTAGTTTGGTCACTAAAACTATCCTGTTGCTGCACCATCTTTTGAACTGACAAACTTCATGTAACATGTTTTGACATAGCGATTAATAATGATTGTTCATTGGCTAGTGCAGGTCATGTGTTTACAAGGCATTGTCACATGTTGGTAATGTATCATCGCCAATGTCACCGACAGACAAAAGTTGAACTTGATTCAAAGATCACACATCCTCCTACAGAAATTTAGAGTTTCAGGTGTGTTTGAGATCTGGAGTAACTAGGTGTCAGTAGCTTTGTTAGGATTTGCAAAATGTGGTGCAAAATGCTCTTTTTAGAAAGAAAGGCAACTGCTAAAGAATGAGATTCTAACATTGCCCAGGTTAAAACAGACATAATCATAAAGCAAAATGTCAAATGCAATCTCTGCCATTGTGAATGGATATGAGGCACAAAATTTTGCATAACAGGTTAGGGAGAATTGATATGAACTGACAAAATATAACAGCTAGCTTGTTAATAAAATTGCAGGAACAAGAAACTCACATAATTATGAAAGTTATAAATAGCAACTGAAGTGGCTAGCATTTTTTTGGTAATGATTTTTTTCCTTTGAACTGTCAATTGTTTTCAAAGTTTTTATGATGTTTTGGTAAACATAATTTTTTTCCTTATAATTCACTAAACAAAATGACAAAAATTACACTATTCAAAAATGATAAGGATTTTCAGGCTTAAAACCAATAATAGATATTCAAAGAATTGATCCTACTTAGATCAACTGGTAAACCTATTTGAGATACATAAAGATGATCACACTGAGACCTAAGTAGTTTCTCATTAGTTGTTCATGTGGTAATAAATAATGCAAGCATTTTCTGCCATAGAAATATAAACACTAAATGCGCCCTATTAAATAGTCATAATATAATTTTATTTCTAGACCCTCTGTATTTAACTATTAATTTGGTGCTGAGTTTGCACCTGTCAAAGATACAGTTATTATCACCAGTCTTAATTATCACTTTTATCCTTGGCAGAATGAGCTATCCATAAAATAGCTTATTTTCTGTTGCCGATTGTTGTCTTTCATGTGTCCTGTAAACCAGTGACCTTAATCATTTTCAATGTGCATTTCCATACTCACTCACATATTCACATATTATAAAATTCTAAAAAGTTTTATGAAATTTGTGAGTTTACAATTGAATTTGAACCCTCTATTCACATCAAAATACTTATACCTTCATTTTTAATGAATCTTTTAAAATATCCAGTGATGGTACTTTGCAGTGTGTAATTTTGTTGTTTGGGTTATTTTTCAAAAAAACAATGAATTTAGTTTCTTCACATTATAGTGGAGTTTTCTTTATCTCCCTGGCAAGTATTAATTTTTGGCATCAATCCTCATTTCCACCAATCAAACTCAGACTACTATTACAGCGATCTCAGGCAGTTTCCAAACAAGGACACGAGGCACATTATGTATCGAGATGGCTAGAAGATTGGAGGGGGAGGGGGGTGGATGCTCAACGTGCAAAAAGTTGAGAGAAAAGGTATTCGTTGTGTGGTTGTAGGTACATTTTGAGGATTTTTTGGAGGACCAAAACGCTTGAGGTCAACCCTCTTCACATCAGCGTTCCCTACAATCAATTCACTCATTCTTTGTGAATCAGTAAGTTTCAATAAATCTCTGTAAAAACTATTTTCAATTGATCCTCATGCTAGAAGCAAAACTTCTCCCTACCTTTGCTTAGCCTTGTGGTGTGTGTTTTACTCTAGACAAAAACTGACTATCCAGAAAAGGCTTTTCACGTAATAACTGGCAGACAATTTCTTATTAAAAATGCAACATCCTGTAAATATTTCAAAGACATATCTAGTTCAGTATCACTAATATTGCTGGTAAGTGAGTTATCATCGGCCCTTTAACCGATCATTGGACATTACTCTGCATTTAAAGGAAAATTTTTCGATAATTGTGGTTTACTTCAATTGTTTATTCGTTTGAGATGAAATCTTTTGCACCTGTTTTTTATTCGATTTATTCGCCGAAATTTCGTTTACTCTTCTTTATTGAGAAGAATTTTGATCAGTTTGAGAAAATTCAATTTCTAGCCTGGTGATCGTGCTTCATAATTTTTCTTTGTTTGAGTTTTAACGACCACAAAAGCCCCTTTTTCAAACCGCGTATTTCCTATTTGCTTCAACCAACGACCTAATCAGTTCAGGATAGTGGCCAATTCGAAGTATTTCACTTCTAAATTCATATGTTTACGTTTTCTCGAAATGAGATTAGACATAATAATTTTTTGAAATCATTTTTAGGATTTTCAACTGTAGATGAGTTGCCAAACTTTCGTGACCTTGCGTCGGAGATTCTAAGCTCTAAAAAGTGATGTCCAGTACTATACAGCTTTGAAAAACATAAAGACTTTAAGACTGTCACCTTTTTAATTCCGTAAGAAGTTTTTGTCACATTTTGTGATTTAGTCCATCTTGAGAAAACCATCAAACAAATCTGTTCACGCCTTGCATCAGAATTACGTTAGATGGTGGGGGTTTTCAGCTCTTTAAATTCAGTTTCTTTAAAATCGCAATTTTGCCGGGAGGAGGGTGCTTTTTTTCGCGGAGTTGGTAATCAAATTTGGCAGAAACTCCCAGCCAATTTTCTGATAGATACCGCTGCAAAACGGGAGGGTGAGGGTGAATGTTAAGCGTGAAAAATTGGGTTTCGAGGTTTCCCCTTTTACCCCGGGCCAATTTTTGAAATTTCCCAAGGGATAACTCTCCACGCACGTGTCATTATGTGCCGTGTCAATGTTATTTTGTCGTTATGTAAAGAAATCAATGTCCCCACGTATGCCCTTCGCCCACTCTTGGTCTTGCTGGGGTTTTTTACAAGATTAGATTTTGAAGACGGAGATCTTACAACCCTTCCCAAGAATGATTCTAACACCACAAAATTCAAGTTCAAAACTTGAATACCCAATGATTCAACTACTTACCAAAGATATCGACGTTGCCTCAAAGTTCTTTTTCTCTTTCAATGCTTCCCCCTCCCCGTACCTAATTAAAGATATTTATGCGTCTAATGTCTGTTAGATTCTCAGTGACAAACCACAAGAATTAGGGGGAGGGGGGAGGAAGGAAAAACGGCTTTGCAGCACCGTTAAGTCTCTGTGTAGATGTGCTAGCAATTTGCCAAGGGTGTGACAAAACATCGTCATGACAAGATCAGAGTAGCAATGGTCATTGACTGCAGACAAAGTGGAAGAGGCCTTAATGATCATATACCTTCATGTTTAGACATGAAAACTTCGTTCTCTCTTTTAGACTCTTCACCTCGATGTAGATTAATTTCACGTTTACAATATGTAGTTAGAAAGCTAGACATTTTCATAGATTAAAAATGTGTAAACAACTAGACGAGAAGGTCGCTGATTGGTCAAAATCAAAGAGCCAATCAAACGCGCGATTATTCCACCTTACCTTTGGGCTTTCTTAAGCTAGTGTCTTTATTCGACATTTATACTCAGAGGGGTGTTGGACGAAATTACTTACGTATGCTATACTTCTGCTTTTCCATGCTATCTGCAAACCTACATTCGTCATAATTGACAACGTTCGTTATTGGTAGCATTTCCTTTGCTAACTATTAAGTTACACTATATGTTTGGCCGCGGCGTTTTGAGGTTTGCCCCAGGGCCTCTGAAACCTCTTGGTGGCCCTGGGTGTATCTTGCTTATAATTTTGTAATTGTTTTTCCATTTGCTGATAACAGTCCTGTTTCTCTTTTAGGAGTACGTATTTCAAACCAGCTGAATTTTGGGAACTTTTATGGATCGTAAGTGGCCTTGCAGCATATATTGGATACAATTCGTTATCGAAAAATCACGTCGTGCAGATATTGACATATATCTTTGGGAACCTGTTATTTGGATTAGCATCACTAGCATATGGCTCATGGAAAATTATTGACAGAGCTCTACAAATTTATAAGCAAGGTAAAATCTATGTTTCAAGTCCATTTTAGTATAGAAAGGGAATGAAATCAATGTATTGTGCCCTAATGAGATTTCTCCAGCGTAAACGGGGCCTTCGTAAACCGCGTCACTGTTTAAAGTGCCATTATTAGAGATTATTTTTAAAAGGGTTTTAAGCAACCCCTTTTAGAAACACCCATATCCGCTCTCGCACGTTGAGTTAATTTTTTCCCTACCATTCATTATTGATCTGTTTGATTTATTTGTTTGATTTTATTTTGAGAGAAATCATAGAAATAGGGTTGAGCCACATACCACAAAGTCGATCAACAAGTGTTCAGGCATAGGAGAGTCTTTCAATCGTGGTTTAGGTGTGGTCGATTGATATTTTCAATGCTAGGCTTTAGATGAAGCTTCGGTTGCTTAAATTGAATCAACTTTCCTCATATGACTTTTATCATGCCCCGACCAAGGCCAGTTACTGATTATGATATGCTACAATGCGATATGGAAGCTTAACGCATTAGAATACGCAGAGGTTTTGACAGAGCAAATGTTTTATATCAGGCGATTTGCATAAGGATTTTGGCGATCAAGTCATGTATGCCCGTCTAAGTTAGTACTTACTTGCGTTAGACGTGCATCGCAATACTTCGCTAAGCTACCATTCTTGCAGAACCATAATTTTGAGAGAATTGTTATTTGTTGTTCAATATATGTGGGTCTAGGGCCCATTTTTTCAGCATTTTGATAAGGGACTTTACTGATTCCACGACAATCATATGCATATGCATGTATGACATGGAGCATTTAAATATATAGATCTAGTTTATTATTGCATTTTGATGTTAATGATTATTCGGTATAACGTTCGAGAACATCAGTAGCACACAAGTCTGAATTCCTTATCAATCTGCAGTTGAATGCTTTTGCCGTTAGCCAGGAAAAGAAGCTCGTCTCTTTCCATTGTATGATTCCCATTTCATTATTTCGGTTGTAGGCTCGTCATTTACTGAATGGAAAGACGCTCCTATGAAGATAGCTCTCATAGCAGTTTGTCTCCAAGTTCAAATTTCTGGGTTGTATAATGCGGTTAGACTTTACAAAGCATGGACTGGAAAAGGAAAGAAAGAATGATTTATGTTAAATGTTTATCTTTCGAGTGAACTTGTTCTTTAACACGAAAGCACCAGCGCACGTTTGTTGCCAAAAGACAGGTATTACCACAGTTCTAGTGAAAAATACTTCCTCCTTCCTTCTAGCCTTGTTAGTTTATGAATGAACACACTAAACGTGCTTTTTTATACTTAAAGTTAAGTAGCACTAGAAAGTAAGTAAGTAAGTAAGTAAAGCAGCGTTTCTAGATTTAGTGAGCCCTAATGAATTTCTTAATTCTTCAGCCTCTTATATCTTTTTTTTCTATCTACATTTTCAATCTCTTATTTTAACAAAGAATCTTATTTTCGAAAACATTTCCTAAGATTTTCAATAGCGTAAGTAAAGAGCAATCAAAGCCTTGGTTTTAATTGAATGCTTTATTTTCCTAGTCTAGGCAGATATCCGACAGTTGGAAATATTACCAAATCATGTAGCTGTAAATCTTGGCATGTTTTTGTCAACACAGTATATTCCATCTTGAACGTATTAATTTTTAATCGCTTTAGGAAGGTTTTTGTTGTTGCGTATTTGCAGCACGTCTCTATGGCGCATCTCAGGAGTATGCTTAATGCTTGTGTATTATATTTCACTGGAAATATTAATGCGAAGAAAGGCATAGGCAATCTCTTTATGTTTAGAAAGTCGCAGCCATGGCGTCGATATTAGCGTAGAATTACTGGCTTATTGGTGATGCTTTCACAAGTAGATAGTCAATGAACAGCGTGACCACAATTTCGGGACCTAAGTGTCAGAATGCAACAAAGAAATGAATTTTAATCCACATTCAATCATGAGTGACGCCGATTGAAAATCTACGCATTATCTGGCATTAGAGTGTATTAATTGCAGCAATAGGTCATCTTCTCAGGTAATTCTTTCGAAATCTCGATAGTTAGCAATTGTTTACGAACTTCTCTATCACTGTTATATTCCAGGAGCGCATAGTTTGATTTACGTAAGCCACTCCATATTGATTGAAGTGGTGTGTATTTAACCGATGTCTCTCGAGTATTTTATTGATGAACACAAACAGTTCCTCAAAAATGCTTTTTGCTATGTAACATACAATGTACAAAGTAACCCATGAGTTTAACAAGGTCAGGGTAATCGAAGTACATTTATGCATTAGCTAGTTGTTGAATATACATATTCCATATCGGGTTGAAATATTAGATTCCGGATCAGCAAAAATTCATTCAAAAGTCAACTAATCTTTATTTTTCCTTTAGAAACCTAGACTTTATGATAATGATGAGCACTAGTATATCCTATCATAGAATTTGTTGCTGGTTAAAGTCGAGTTTTAAAACCGAAACTCGGTAGCCAGTCTTTCTAAGCACAAAGACTAAGAAGGGATAAATTATCAGTGCTGCTTGTAGCTTTTAGCAAGTTGAAAGTTACCAAGGTATGGCCACAGAATTCTGCGTTATGATGACTGCTAGATAATGAGATGTTTTTCTATAGTTATTCCTTTGCTGAAATGCCAGAGTGTCTTGAATACGTCTTTGCATTATTCGATCAAGGCGACCAAAGATTTCTGCATCATCTCGAGCTGGGTGCTGGGTAATAAAGTGTGTGGACGAGCGTCTCTTTAAATTTTGCAGCCTGAGCGAAGATTACTTTCAAGTATTCGAACAACGAATATTTCTATTTACTCTACAGTAAGGCATTAATACGTAATAAATTGTTAGCATTTTTGAAAATGGCATTCGTTATGCACATGTTTTGGAGCAGCAAAACATGAGTTAACGATGATCTATGGACGCTCAACGGAGGGTTGATTAAGGCTCAGAATTAGTTGTGGTTCCGTGATTGTTGCATCAAGCAGTAGAAGCAGATGACAAAGATGTATATGTTTTATATCTGACCGTCATTTATAGTGAATAAGAAACTTTCAATAAATCTTTATAGCAAATCCTTCGGCCAAGTGGGCATATTTGACCAACAACTTCGCAGTGGGGGTGGATATGATTTATTAATTTTTCTGCGAAATGTTCCACATAAAGTGTGATGATCTGTTAAACCTTGCTATAAATCAAAGAAAGTATAACTATTATGTCGGGGGTTACCAGTCGCCCCCGGTTTTCAAAAACAATAAAATTCTTCAGTTCCAAAGGGACTGCGTCGCAAAAATATTTCGACATTTTTGACCGCATTACTTGAAAGACCATAGCGAAGAATTTTTTTCCGATGTACAGGATCCATAAATACGTTGAAATTTTGCTGAGATATGTTTACATAAGCACAGGCTCTTTAACCATCAACTTGCTGTAATGTTGTCTTGGTACTAAAATCTATAAACCAAAACAAATAGACTTATTCTACCTCAGTAAATTCGCGACAAATTTGACCGATTTTTGCTTTTTTAGGGGTTTCATAGTATTTTTCGTGTTGAGTTGTCAAGAGTCAAAATTCTAAAAGTAGATTCTTGATAATGTCACTTTTTTGTACCTTTTTGTACCCGGTCGGGCACCTTGGACGTGGACCTAGGGCTACAGGTGGCCTGGCTCTATTTGCCTCCAGTCCTTTGTTATCCTTACGGGACCCGTCCACCTCCCACAGGGCTTGTAAGCGACAAGGACTCGTAGGTCCGCTCCTGAAGGACAATGTCACTTTATGCGATCAATTTGCTTTGCGAAATTTTAACTATTTCCAACTTTAAGGATTGTGTGTGTGCAAGACAAGATAAAATTGAATGAAATTGTGTCATAGGTCACTCATTTTTGAATGGTTTTTTCTTTCTTGTTGTGCGAGATACACTCTCCTGGGACAACCCAACCTGCTCCCATTCTCCCACTCACTAGCTAATGGCGTCCTTTGTGTTCATGTGATCTTGAAAATGGTCTCCTTTGTTGATTTCAATTCGGAACTCTCGGACTATGTTAATGAATGTCCTGTATCAGCATATGCCCAGTGGCAGTTACAATCCCGTGTTATTTTCGTATATTCATGGTTCGCCAGCATTGTAATGCCGCTGAACTTTATCGTGTTTGAAAAAAATAAGCTGCCGGTCATTTTGGTCTTGGAGGATAATCAGTCACCAGTGAGTGTTATCTCCTCGTTTTTTCTCACCATCTTTTTCAATCTATTCAATTTAACTCAATAAATTTTCGCGCAATTAACGACATGTGCTGCTGTAAATCACAATTGCAGACTGTATTAAAGATTTCGCTCACTAGTCTCATTTTAAACAGGTTCTGGAAGAAAAGCATGTTGAAAAGTTTCATATTCAAAAATCTAGGCGCCTTACGGGAACTGTTGAATTGTTGAGCTGCTTTTTAGCTTGAAGAAGCAAGTGACACATGCCCTTGAGCTCAGTCTCTTTCGAATCTATGATTTTCCTCCGACTTCCACCATTTAACTGCTGATTCATTGTCCATCTTTAACTTTTCTTTGTATAATGGGCACTTCATTCTTTTCAGATATGTTAGATAAAAGAAAGATAATTTTTAGCGTCTTCTGTGATGAAGGTTATCTTCAACAAGATTAGTAAATATGCACATCAAATCGTTGCTCAAGCTACGTATAAGTGACCGCTTTATTGGATTTCTAGCCTAATTAAAATTGATTGACTCCTCAAACCTCCTTGGGGCTTTTTAGTTTGCCGGAGGATGCCTGGTTTAGTTTAAAATATGGTTGGGGCTTGTAAAAATTGACTGAATAGACTTATATTTTCTATAAGAGACAAAGGTGGACTTTGAGAACTCCAGTTTCTTAACGCTTGGAAGTTTCCCAACAGAAATGTGTTGCCTAGGGGTAAATGCAAACAGTGGGACTCATCAATGGTCCTATTGTTTTCAAGTATTAGTGACTTTTTTTATCCTGTGTCTTAATTTAACCAACCAGCTAATCATGTCGATAGATTTTTTAAAATTTCCGAGTTTTGGATTTTTTCAAAATTAAATGCAAGAGTTTCTCGATTTTTCTGACTGTCCAGTACACGTTTCTTATAGCCAATTTTTTTATTAAAAAACAATGTCTCGCCATACAAATAGCCTGTCTGCTACTTTTTTCAAGCTCATTCCGTAGAATATACATGCAGCAAATAGATTTTCACAACAAAACTGTGAAAATGCTTCCTTTTTTTATATTTTACATCATACCTCATAAAATTGCCTCAAAATCATGCCTCATAAATTTGGCATGTAAGTGCTGAGGCTTATTAACACCATTGCTTTTACTGTTTTTGTGATCGTTTTTGGCCTAGACATTTTCTGATTCGTATCGAACCTTGGGTGAAATTTGGTCAAATGCTTGACCATTATCTATTTAACCTTTTCCATTTTAACAATGTCATTGTTAGAGATGAATTTAGTTGATACAGTAAACAATGCGATACATTTCTGTTCAAAGGCTGGTGGTGTTGAATATAATTCCTACTTGATGTCGAGCCGAACAACTTTTCTACAGTGATACAATATTGCCAAGGTATGACGTTTCTACAAGCAAAATAAATTGACCCACGCTTCTCAACAAGTAGTTTTTTCTTCCTACTATAATCAAGGCTGGAAGCCTTGCCTTCGTGGGTGTCTTAATTGATAGAAGATTGCTGTTTTGTCGATTTGTGATGGCTTTTAAACAGCTGCGAGCTCATGCTTAAAATCAAAAATGAAACGAATGCATAAGTCATGAAGCCTCTTACAGTCGTTTAAGAAAGATTAGAAATAGTGACACCGTAATGCAATGCAATTAGAAAAGTGGTAGTGTGTATACCATCCCATCTCAAAATTACTAGAAAAGTAAAAAATAACTGACATCTCAATCAGTCACATCACCACCGTTACCCAACATAGGACCAGTCAATATGCAATTCTAGAGGAAGGTAGTGTCAGCGAATGAACATGTTTATTCATGCAGTCCGAATGAAATGCCAAATACTCAAGTGTTGTCATCTATGGAATCAAGCAGATATGTGATTTACACGAATGCCTATGATAATAGCTCTCCGAATATTTCAGGGAAACGCTTTACCCATTAAATTAGACCGATCAACGTCACACATAACTGCAGAAATTGTTTTATCAAAATACCTTAACCTCAGGTAGGGATTTCTTTAAAGTATTAGTGCATGTTTGTCTCTTAGATCAATCTAAGAAAACATTCCTCAACTTCTATAATGATTAATCGAAAAAATGGAACTTAGTTTATTAAATGGTCAATCAATGTAGCATGTTTCTATAGCCAAATTTTAACTGTCTCTAGCCAAATTTTAACTGTCGTGTCTCTAGCTAAATTTTATTTTGAAAAATCATTGTCGACATAATGTTTTTTGCAAGACATCCGCTATAAACAAATAAAATCCTGTGTCTGACCAAAGAAGAAGATTCTAATACATTAATTTGCATCTGATAAAGACTGGCATGTTAAAGACTAGCGCTTGTTCAGAAAGTATTTTAACAGCATATGGCAAGATCAAAAGCATGTAAAAGGCGATGGCTGTCTGCTTAATTTTAGTTTATTTTTCATTTCGCAAGGTTATTGGTGTTGGGTAAACAGTTTTTCATGGCCAAGGAGTGACAGATAACAAACTTAGGTGTTTATGTTTAAATCCGGTTGTAATCAACAAAACTGATTGATTAAATATTTGCAATAGACCAGTTAATATGTATAGATTTTTATCTTTTACTGTTTATATCAATATCTAAGTTGTAAATTTGCTTTCGTTTTAAAATGCCATTTCAAAGAGCAGATCTTGCAATGATCCGCAGCCATGGGAGAAGTAAAATCGCGATTATTCCATTTATTATGCTAGAAGGGATTTCTTTCTTCCATTCCAAGAGTCTTTTGCATGATCTTAGATGACGGTTTAAACCGACCTCTAACACGAATGGATAGTGGCACCAACAGCGAAATTACAGAATTTTTAGTATTCTCAGTCACATTCTTCGTGAAAAAGCCAAATAATAAAGATCCCGATAAAGATCCTTGTGAGATTCCTTTTAATAGTATTACAATCACCAATCCATGTGTTGTGAAAACAAAATTTAATTGATCAGTGTTATAGATAGATAAAAATGTTTAACTAAGCTGAATTCAATTGTATGCTTAGCTAACTTTATTTTCTTCATACCGCTGTCTAGAAAATTGAAAACTAAATAAAGACCTGCTAAATGTTTACCATAGGCCTTGGACTTACAACTCAGTGAATGCTTTGATGGAACGTTCAGAAGAATACTGTTATATGTTCAGGATGAGCATTTGCTTATTGTTGC